GTTTTTGTATAAACAATGGTTTTTGTTTTAATACAATGTGTTTTGTATAATACAATGTTTGTTGCATAATTCTGTATGTTGTTGTATAATACAATGTGTTGTTTTTTAATAAATGTGTTGTATAAAACAATGTGTTGTTTTATAAAACAATTGTTGTTGATAATACAAGTGTTGTTTTTAATATGCTTTTGTTTTATAATACAATGTGTTGTTGTATAATACAATGGTTGTTGTTAATAAATTTTTTGTATAAGACAATTTTGTTTTTTATAATAAATGTGTTTTTGTAAAATATGTGTTTGTTGTTAATACAATGTTTTGTATTTACAATGTCTGTTTTATAAAAAATGGGGTTGTTTTATAATACAAATTGTTGTTGTATAATACAATGTGTTGTTGTATAATACAATGTGTTGTTGTATAATACAATGTGTTGTTGTATAATACTGTGTGTTGTTTATAATACAATGTGTTGTTGTAAATACTGGTGTTGTTGTTAATTCAAAGTGTTGTTGTATATACGGTTTGTTGTTAATACAAAATGTTGGGGGTTAATCTGGTGTTGTGTATAATACAATGGTTGTTGTTAATACAATGTGTTTTTTGTATAAAAAAAGTGTTGTTGCTAATACAATGTGTTGTAAATACTTGGGGTTGTTGTAAATCAATGTTTTTATAACAAGGTTGTTTTATAATACATGTTTTTTTGTTAATAAAAGTGTGTTTTTTTATAATAGAAAGGTTGTTGTAAATAAATGTGTTTTTGTATAATACGTGGTTTTTTATAAAACAATGTGCTGTTTTATAAATTTTGGGCGTTGTTGTATAATACAAAGGTTTTAAAAAAGTTTGTTGTATAAAAAGTGTGTTGATAATACAAGTGCTGTTTTAAAACTGTGGTTTTGTATAATCAATTGTTGTTTATAATACAATGTGTTGTTTTTTACTTTTGTTTTATAATACAATGTGTTGTTGTATAATACAATGTGTTTTTGTATAATCAATGGTTGTTTTTAAATATGTTTGTTGTTGTATAATGCAATTGTTGTTGTAAAATAAAATGTGTTGTATAAAAATTGTTGTTGCTAAACGTTGTTGTTGTATTAAAAAATGTGTTGTTGATAATACAATGTGTTGTTGTTAAACTGTTGTTTTTTTATAATCAAAGGTTTTTGTATAATACATTGGGTTAAAACTGTGTGTTTTGTATAATACAATGTGTTTGTATAATGCAATATTGTAAAAAACTGTGTTGTAAAATCAATGGGTTGTATAAAACAGTGTGTTGTTGTTTAAAACAATGTTTTTAAACAGTATGTTGTATAATAGTGTGTTTTTTAATACAAAATGTTTTTTGTATAATTAATGGTATAATACATGTGTTGTTGCTATACGAGTTGAAAAACAGTGTGTTTTTTGTATAAAACAAAGTGTTGCGTTAAACAGGTGTTGTTTATAATACAAAGTGTTTTTGTATTACAGTGTGTTGTATGAACAGGTGTTGTTGTATAAGCAGTGTTTGTTGTATAAACAATTTTGTTTTATACTGGGCGTTGTATAATACAATATGTTTTTGATAAAACAATGTGTTTTATAAAACAATGTGTTTTTGTATAAGCAGTTGTTGTTGTATAATACATATGTTTTTATAATACAATGTGTTGTGGGGTATAATACAATGTTTGTTTGTAAATAAAGTATTGTATAATCACTGTTGTTTTAAATCAAAGTGTGCTGATAATACATGTGTTGCTTTTTTAAAACAAGTTTCTGTAATACATGTGTTTTTGTATAAAACAATTTTGTAAATACGTGGTTTTTTGCATAAACAATTGTTTTGTATAAAACAAAAGTGTTGTTGATAACAATGTGTTTTGTAAATTCAATGTATAATACGTTTTGTTTTTGTATAATTCAAAGTATTGTAAAACAGTGGTGTTTAAATACATGTGTTGTTGTATAATACAAGTGTTGTTGTTAAAAACAATTTATTGTATAAACAGTGTTTTTGTATAATACAGTGTGTTTTGTTAAAAAACAAGTTTTTTGTATAATACAGTGTGTTTTTGTATAATACAATGTGTGTTGTAATTCAATGTATAATACAGTGTGTTGTTGTATAAAACAATGTGTTGTTGAAAATTCATGTATAATACGTGTGTTGTTGTATAATACAATGTGTTGATGTGTTGTTGTAAAAAAATGTTTTGATAAACAGTGTTGTTGTAAATCAATTGTGTGTATAATACAATGTTTTTTGTATAAAACATATCGTTTTTATAAAACGTTTTGTATAATACAATGTGTTTTTTTTATGCAGTGTTTTTTTTATAATGCAGGTTTTTGTTGAATACATTGAATTGTTGTATGGGTTCATAGCTTTTGTATGACGTGTATGTTGTAAGAGCATGTGTTACTGTATAAAAACAGTGTTCTGTTGATGGTTAAAATCTTGTATGATACAGTATGTTGTTGTATGATACAATGTGTTGTATGATACAGTCTGACATAACATATTGTGTAATACCTTTCCATGTATGATGCAGTGTTGTATGATATACTGTGATGTAATACAATGTGCTGTTAAACCAAAATATTTTGTACAGTGTATTTTATTATGAAATATATTGCATAATTTGGAATTAAAATTTAGCATAATACAATACTGAAGTATTGGTTAATATTGTATAGTACAGTATTGTATTTGTTGTATGACATCATTCTTGTATATTGTAATGGGGTGTTGTATAATACAGCATTGGATTGAACTTCACAACATTTCTATGGCCATAATGTATTGATATACCATGCAGGGAGGAAGAAGAATACTTTTAAATACAATCATACACAATCATACAAGATACAATCGCCATACAATATGTAGTTATCGTTATTATACGCTGTACTGACGTGCTCCGATCGGGATAATTATACACTACTGATGTTTCGGTAGCCAGAATCCAAAATACAGTGCTAATCTACGTTGTTTGAGCTGGTTAATGAGGGTTATTCCAGCCTACGATTAGTTCAAGAAATTCTACAATATCCTACGTCAATAGGCACTAAGAGAAGTAGGTCTACAGGATGGGTGATAGATTCCTAGATGCGATGCGAATATGGACAGCAGTGTTCAAAAAAGGCTTTGAAAAAGGGATCGAGAAGGCCTCCCATACCCTTACATGGAATGCACAAGCGATATGGTAGAGTCTTAGAGCAAAACAATAGGTTAACGAACGTTACGAAGAAGATCCCATACCTTAGTTAAGGCAGCATGGATTACAAAGATAGGAAATGTTGGAATTAGAGCCAAGGCATGGTAAACGGTTCAGCCTACGTGCTCGATGCCCTAGCTTAGTTGCTAGCTAAGCTTCAGTTTAGCTAGAATAAGGCTTGATCTTAGATTAGATTGTATGGAGAACGTGCTGTAGCCTTAAGTTATACTTAGCTTTTGCAGTGTGGTGCCTTCGACTTAAGTAGGTTAGAACTTAGAATTTAGATTGTGAGAACGTCTAAGTGGAGCCTTAAGTTTAGAACTTAGCCTTTAGTGGGATGCATTTCAGCCTTAAAGTAGGTTAGATCTTAGATTTAGATTGTCAAGAAGCCTAAGGTTAAATTTGATTAGAGTGGAGCCTCAAGTTTAGTAATCTTAGACGTAGATGAGGACGTTGAAGTCTTCTGAGAGCCTTAGTACATCAGTAGGATAGGATTGTGTTGATTGTGTAAAGAGGAGAGTACTTAGATCCGGTTAATCTTCAGATAGACACACAGGGTATGGAGCTATCCCTTCATAGTCTCCTAGTTATCTTCAGACAAACACACGGTAGAGAGGACTCAAGTCTTCCCCTTAAACATCTCCATAGTTATCTCAACAGAAACACAGGGTGTAGGAAGAGGCGATCATCCATCTCAGCATCCCCGGCTATCTCCAGACAGAACACACAGGGTAGTGAGAGCGCTCATCCCCCTCTCATAGCCTCCCTGGTTATCTCCAGACAGAACACACAGGGTAGAGAGAGCGCTCATCCCCCTCTCACACCTCCCTGGTTATCTCCAGACAGAACACACAGGGTAGAGAGAGCGCTCATCCCCCTCTCACAGCCTCCCTGGTTATCTCCAGACAGAACACACAGGGTAGAGAGAGCGCTCATCCCCCTCTCACAGCCTCCCTGGTTATCTCCAGACAGAACACACAGGGTAGAGAGAGCGCTCATCCCCCTCTCACAGCCTCCCTGGCTATCTCCAGACACAACACACAGGGGCAGCAGTACTAACGTTCAATGTGACTGATTCTCGCGTTGAACTTCTGATTTGTTGAAGCTCATTGAGCAGAGGAATGAGCAGAGATGTATAAATCTCATCCAACAAGTTCGCAGGGTCAGTGTCAGCCTGGGCCATGCCTCTGTGACATAGGCATGCTAACTGGGCAGATCTAATTCGAATTTTGATAGAACTGTAGGCCTTTAGATGGGTATAGTCTATTCTGAAATAGAATTGAAAATTACAATTAAATTTGGTCTGATCAGCGCCTTTTATTGAGCGCCTTAAAGGATTCCAATATACCAAAAAAAAAAAAAAAAAAAAAAAGATTCCAGGTAACGTCAAGGCTTACATTCTAATTAATTTTGGGCGTCAAAATTTTGAAAACATCTACGAATTTTATGGCAATAAATTGATTATAATTTGGCCACTAGACCCTAGCGAATATTGCAAATGGGTGTAAAATAAAAAAATGAATTAAAAATAATTTAGAAGAGGGTAAATTAAGGGGTTTGGAAAAATTTTTTTGGGGAATGGGGTCAGACGTTGCCGGACCAGGTCAGCTCCTGTACCTTAAATAAGGTGAAACAAGGTCGCTCGGTCGGAGCTACAGACCCTCCACTGGGCTGCTTTCAACTCGTGAATTTCCCCACTATCTATCATCACCGCTTGCAAACTGAAACAATCTATCATCCAATGCACAATAGACATTCCTTTTTAGCATTTTAAAGACCCGACTATACCTGGCACTGAACGCGGGCACTGTCCTGGGTATCAAGCAATGGACTCTTCATAATTAGCAATTTCAACTGCAGTTAGTTGAGATGGTTGATGGTAGATATGACACAGAGAGAGAGAGACACACACCCCGGCAAGGGTTCTATCTCCCCGGCAAGGGTTCTATCTCCCCGGCAAGGGTTCTATCTCCCCGGCAAGGGTCCTCTGGATGGTAGCTGGGGAGGTTATATCACGGGGGTGGGATGGTTGTAGTCACTACCCCCACCACAATCACATGACTACCACCATCGCCTGGTACCACCACCACCACCCACACTTCACATGATGGTAGACCAGTAGACAGCGCGAGAGTAGACGGTCTACCGGCAACAGGAACAGCAGCAAGAGTGCTGTCTATAGCCTCTCTCTATCTCTCTCACTCTCTCACTCTCTCTCTCCCACAACCCCCTGAACGACTGAAACGAACCCACTTGCCGGGCTTTCTACACGGCAAACCCGGCACGTACACGGCTGAGGTTTGGGCACGGCAGTGCCAAGGGTGGGCACTCACCTCTGCAGACATTAGAACATGGCTAGATGGGCAGGATAGACAGCAATAACGGAATAAGCCCGGACACTTTCAACTCAAGTCTGGCCCCCCACTTCCCCCGTCCGCCATTACTGCCAGAAGATCAATAACTGCTCCTGCCTCCTCCTCCTCCTGCCTCCTCCTCCTCCTCCTCCTCCTCCCGGGCCTCCTCCTCCTCCTGCCTCCTCCTCCTCCTCTCCTCCTCCTGCCTCCTCCTCCTCCTACTCCTCCTCCTGCCTCCTCCCTCCTCCTGCCTCCTCCTCCTGCCTCCTCCTCCTGCCTCCTCCTCCTCCTCCTCCTCCTCCTGCCTCCTCCTCCTCCTGCCTCCTCCTCCGCCTACTCCTCCTCCTCCTCCTCCTGCCTCCTCCTTTCTGCCTCCTCCCCCTGCCTCCTCCTCCTCCTCCTCCTCCTCCTGCCTCCTGCCTCCTCCTCCTCCTCCCTCCTCCTCCTCCTCTCCTCCTCCTGCCTCCTCCTCCTGCCTCCTCCTCCTCCTGCCTCCTCCTCCTCTCCCCTCCTCCTCCCCTGCCTCCTCCTCCTCCTCCTCCTCCCCTCCTCCTCCCTCCTCCTCCTCCTGCCTCCTCCTCCTCCTGCCTCCTCCTCCTGCCTCCTCCTTCTCCTGCCTCCTCCTCCTCCTCCTCCTCCTCCTGCCTCCTCCTTCTGCCTCCTCCTCCTCTCCTCCTCCTCCTGTTCCTCCTCCTCTCTCCTCCTCCTGCCTCCTCCCTACTCCGCCTACTCCTTCTCTTCCTCCTACCTCCTCCTCCTGCCTCCTACTGCCTCCTCCTCCTCCTCCTCCTGCCTCCTACTGCCTCCTCTCCTCCTCCTCATCCTCCTCCTCCTCCTGCCTCTCCCCCTCCTCCTCCTGCTCCTGCCTCCTCCTCCTACTCCTCGCTGCCTCCTCCCCTCCTCCTCCTCCTCCCTGCCTCCTCCCCCTCCTCCTCCTCCTCCTGCCTCCTCCCCCTCCTCCTCCTCCTCCTCCTGCCTCCTTCTGCCTCCTGCTCCTGCTTCCTGCTCCTGCCTCCTCCTCCTGCTTCCTCCTCCTCCAGCCTTCTCTTCCTCCTCCTGCCTCCTCCTCCTCCTCTTCTACCTCTTCCTGCCTCCTTCTCCTACCTTCTCTCCGGCTGGTCTCCTCCTCTTCCTGCCTCCTCCTCCTCCTGCCTCCACTGCCTCCTCTTCCTACCTCCTCCTCCTCCTGCTTCCTCCTTCTGCCTTCTCCTGCTGCCTCCTCCTCCTCCTCCTCCTCCTCCTGCTGCGTCCTCTGCCTCCTCTTCCTACCTCCTCCTCCTCCTCCTCCTGCTTCCTCCTTCTGCCTTCTCCTGCTGCCTCCTCCTCCTCCTCCTGCTGCGTCCTCTGCCTCCTCCTGCTGCCTCCTCTGCTGCCTCCTCCTCCTGCCTCCTCCTCCTGCTGCCTCCTCCTCCTGCTGCCTCCTCCTCCTGCCTACTCCTCCTGCCTCCTCCTTCTGCTGCCTCCTCCTGCTGCCTCCTCCTTCTGCTGCCTCCTCCTGCCTCCTCCTCCTCCTGCTGCCTCTTCCCCCTGCCTCCTTTCTCCTCCTCCTTCTGCCTCCTCCTCCTCCTGCTGCTGCCTCCTCCTCTTGCTGCCTCTTCCTCCCGCCTCCTCCTGCTGCCTCCTCCTTCTGCTGCCTCCTCCTTCTGCTGCCTCCTTCTTCTGCTGCCTCCTCTTGCTGCCTCCTCTTCCTCCTGCCTCCTCCTGCTGCCTCCTCCTCCTGCTGCCTCCTCCTGCTGCCTCCTTCTGCCTCCTCCTCCTGCTGCCTCCTTCTGCCTCCTCCTCCTCCTGCTGCCTGCTCCTCCTGCTGCCTCTTCCTCCTGCCTCCTCCTGCTGCCTCCTCCTTCTGCTGCCTCCTCCTGCTGCCTCCTCCTCTTCCTCCTGCCTTCTCCTGCTGCTCCTCCTCCTGCTGCCTCCTTCTGCCTCCTCCTGCTGCCTTCTTCTGCCTCCTCCTGCTGCCTCCTTCTGCCTCCTCCTCCTCCTGCTGCCTCCTCCTCCTGCCTCCTCCTCCTGCTGCCTCCTCCTCCTCCTCCTCCTCCTCCTCCTCCTCCTCCTCCTCCTGCCTCCTCCTCCTGCCTCCTCCTCCTGCCTCCTCCTCCTGCCTCCTCCTCCTTCTCCTCCTCCTGCTGCCTCCTTTTCCTGCCTTCTCCTCCTGTCTCCTCCTCTTGCCTACTTCTGCCTCCTTTCCTCCTCCTCCACCTCCTGCCTCCTCCTCCTCCTCCTCCTCCTCCTGCCTCCTCCTCCTGCCTCCTCCTCCTCCTCCTCCTCCTTTTTTCCTCCTCCTTCTTCCTCCTCTTGCCTCCTCCTCCTCCTTCTTTTCCTCCTCCTGCCTCCTTTTGCTTCCTCCATCTCCTGCCTCCTCCTGCCTCCTCCTGCCTCCTCCTGCTGTCTCCTCCTGCTGGCTTTTCCTCCTTCTACCTCCTCCTGCTTCCTCTTCTTGCTTCCTCCTCCTGCTTCCTCCTCCTCCTGCCTCCTGCCTACTCCTCCTACTTTACCAACACACACACACACACACACACACACAAGTTCCCTCGCACATGTTATAGACGGAATTCCAGCATACGCTAAATCCTCACGGGTTCTGAAAAGAAGTCCCAGTGAAGGCTCGACCCTCCGGTCGCTAATCGGTCTCGAGACCAGTCTGCTCACTTCATAAAACCACCTCAAACACACCAAAATATCTGCAAAACAAAATTTGGGCCAGTTGCTTCCCAGACCACCAGGCTGATGTACACAGTGGACCACTGACAACACTGATGTACACAGTGGACCACTGACCACCAGGCTGATGTACACAGTGGACCACTGACAACACTGATGTACACAGTGGACCACTGACAACACTGATGTACACAGTGGACCACTGACCACCAGGCTGATGTACACAGTGGACCACTGACAGCACTGATGTACACAGTGGACCACTGACAACACTGATGTACACAGTGGACCACTGACCACCAGGCTGATGTACACAGTGGACCACTGACAGCACTGATGTACACAGTGGACCACTGACAACACTGATGTACACAGTGGACCACTGACCACCAGGCTGATGTACACAGTGGACCACTGACAGCACTGATGTACACAGTGGACCACTGACAACACTGATGTACACAGTGGACCACTGACCACCAGGCTGATGTACACAGTGGACCACTGACAGCACTGATGTACACAGTGGACCACTGACAACACTGATGTACACAGTGGACCACTGACAACACTGATGTACACAGTGGACCACTGACAACACTGATGTACACAGTGGACCACTGACAACACTGATGTACACAGTGGACCACTGACAACACTGATGTACACAGTGGACCACTGACAACACTGATGTACACAGTGGACCACTGACAACACTGATGTACACAGTGGACCACTGACAACACTGATGTACACAGTGGACCACTGACAACACTGATGTACACAGTGGACCACTGACAACACTGATGTACAAAGTGGACCACTGACAACACTGATGTACACAGTGGACCACTGACAACACTGATGTACACAGTGGACTACTGACAGCACTGATGTACACAGTGGACCACTGTCAATACTGATGTACACAGTGGACCACTGACAACATTGATGTACACAGTGGACCACTGACAGCACTGATGTACACAGTGGACCACTGACAACACTGATGTACACAGTGGACCACTGACAACACTGATGTACAAAGTGGACCACTGACAACACTGATGTACACAGTGGACCACTGACCACCAGGCTGATGTACACAGTGGACCACTGACAGCACTGATGTACACAGTGGACCACTGACAACACTGATGTACACAGTGGACCACTGACAACACTGATGTACACAGTGGACCACTGACAACACTGATGTACACAGTGGACCACTGACAACACTGATGTACACAGTGGACCACTGACAACACTGATGTACACAGTGGACCACTGACAACACTGATGTACACAGTGGACCACTGACAACACTGATGTACACAGTGGACCACTGACAACACTGATGTACACAGTGGACCACTGACAACACTGATGTACACAGTGGACCACTGACAACACTGATGTACAAAGTGGACCACTGACAACACTGATGTACACAGTGGACCACTGACAACACTGATGTACACAGTGGACTACTGACAGCACTGATGTACACAGTGGACCACTGTCAATACTGATGTACACAGTGGACCACTGACAACATTGATGTACACAGTGGACCACTGACAGCACTGATGTACACAGTGGACCACTGACAACACTGATGTACACAGTGGACCACTGCCAACATTGATGTACACAGTGGACCACTGACAGCACTGATGTACACAGTGGACCACTGACAGCACTGATGTACACAGTGGACCACTGACCACCAGGCTGATGTACACAGTGCACCACTGACAGCACTGATGTGCACAGTGCACCACTGACCACCATGCTGATGTACCCAGTGGACCACTGACCACCATGCTGATGTACACAGTGGACCACTGTCCATCAGGCTGATGTACACAGTGGACCACTGACATCACTGATGTACACATTGGACCACTGACATCACTGATGTACACAGTGGACCACTGACCACCAGGCTGATGCACACAGTGGACCACTGACAACACTGATGTACACAGTGGACCACTGACAACACTGATGTACACAGTGGACCACTGACAACACTGATGTACACAGTGGACCACTGACAACACTGATGTACACAGTGGACCACTGACAACACTGATGTACACAGTGGACCACTGACAACACTGATGTACACAGTGGACCACTGACAACACTGATGTACACAGTGGACCACTGACAACACTGATGTACACAGTGGACCACTGACAACACTGATGTACACAGTGGACCACTGACAACACTGATGTACACAGTGGACCACTGACAACACTGATGTACACAGTGGACCACTGACAACACTGATGTACACAGTG